TGAGCAAGCAGTTGACTGCCACAAATTACTCTTGATGGTGCAAAACACCAAATAGACCGCCTCGGCATGCAATTTTTGTCAAGCCAGGTGGTAGGTGGAATAAAAGAAAGGGTGGTCAAACTAAAATTTGGTATTAGGGTATCAAAACCCTAATCAGGGAACTTGCCTACACGGGTCGCGTTCGGTTTACTGAATGGGAATCTCAAGATTGGTGCAATACACGATGAGAGATAGTGATATCGATGAATGTCGTCAGCGGTGGCGTTTGTGCATCCATTCATCGTCATTGCAACCTTAGGTTACATCAGTTCTCTATTTTTGCCTTCACCCCGATGCTCAACATTCCTATCTTCCTGCTTACCTTTCATCCTAATTGGCAGTCAAAAGGTAGCAACCAAAACCTCACCAATAAAATGTACGGTTAATAGACGTTCGAAATGAACTGAAACTGAATCGGATTAGCAGTAACAAATCTGAACTCCTGATGCTTTTGTCGTGTTGAAACCGCAGTGCCTTGGTCTTAGGAGAATGACAAGTAGATACATTTTGGATAACCGTTTGGAAATGAGCGGAGCGCAAATGACAATGTGTTTCTGCTCCAGAACCCGTCCCCTTCTCCCTCCCCCCCACACACACCGCCTCTGGTCCGGATGTCCGTTGGTCGTCTGAGCGCGTTTGTTCAGGGTCTGTTGATTCTCACGAGTCCCCGCTGCTTCCGCGCATGCACGCACATACGCAAACGCTGGTATCTCACTTCGACGGAGTTGATGAAAAACAACGAAACACAAACGCATCTGGGATTGAGAATCGAACGACACCATCACCACCACCACCATTGTCGCCCCAGCGAACGATAAACCTCATCGAAACAAATGCAGCTACACAAATCCAAACCCATTCGACCAGATTGGTTTCTCTTTGGGTTTTGGTCGGTCGATTGATCGACTGCGAGCAATGTTGTTTGCGTGCACCAAATACTTTCTTCTTTTCGACCGACTCCCACGCGATGCACCAAGGACGAGGGTGAGCGAGTGAGTATGGATCCATTCGAAAACGGCACAGAAAACAGATAGTTCACTGGTGAGGACCTCTGTGCTGACTTACCGTGCTGCAGATGCACCATGCTGCAAATTCACCGCGCTAGAATGCTCGAATGCAGAATCCGGTACCTGGGAACGATCGGAGAGCAGTCGAGAATTGCAGGATGTGGCATCTGGAAAATCAGACAAAGAAGATAAAACGATCAGACTGAGATTATTAGCAGCGAAACATTGCATTTATTCACAGAATGATAAGATAAGAAACTGAGTCTGATTCGGCCTGGGCCTGCGCGAGAAACCAAAGTGGAATTTATGTTCCAGAATGATTCGAATTCTCCGTGTGACTCCCATTCGGGAACGACGGATTCGTGCTCAAATCCACGCACAGATTTGGCATTACCTTCTCATATTTAGTCGTTAAATTTCAATGTAGCTGCGTGCATCTACGGAAAATAATAAACATTTCAAGTATTAGATTTCCAACAAATCTAAGCAGTACTTAGGTGCGTGTGTGCAGATAAGTCTCTTTGGTTTCATAATTTAGTTTCAAAAAACAAACAATACCTTATCCCTTTATATATATCCAAGTTGCCTTGAAAAAAACGTTTTCTTGGTTCATGTGAACCGAGTCGAACATTTCGTCAACAAGGTATATTGAATTGTGCGACTCACGCAAAATGATGGTCCTCTCAGCACATCACCAAACTGTAGCTAAGAGTTTTGAGTAAGTAACGGATATTTTCCACTAAAATATTTTTAAATAGCTGTTGCGAAGTCTCACCAAACCACATGCACATGCACAGCCAAATGGCATCCAACAATGCGATTATGACGATTTGTATGTACAGCATAAAACAATGAGTTTTCGCCACTTCAGGGCTTGTGCTAAGCCTTTGATACACATCATCTCATCTTACTTATGCCTCAGTCAATGCATTCCTTGCTGAATCCAAAATCTACAAACACGCGATGCTCAAAACCCCGGAAGGAAGACACATTAAACAGCGACTAAACAATTTCGAGCAAACCGGGTCGAATCGGATACGCAGCGCATGTGAGTGAACAAACCTTGGAACCGAACTGCTACAAATACCAATTTATGGTTTAGGAGAGTGAAACCTGTTGAGAAAACCAGTCCTCGACAAGCATTTAAACAGCTCCTTCCACTGTGGGGTCCAAATCAAATTATCTCCCTGGTACAAAGGAAAACACACTAGTCAAGAAGTACGCATAATAGCCGAGTCCTGTGTAGCTACCATCAATTAGTTTGTACTTTCGTTGTCTGTCTGTTTGGAATGATCACATTCGGTACGATTGAAAACAAGATCCGGGAAGTGAGACTGTTGATGAGAGAACTACCAGATGGGGGAACTGAAATATGTTTCAAAATTAGCGCTGTTTGCAGTCAGACTGATTTCGGATTTTTTCGATAAAATTGAAAGCAACTACACTCCCCGTTTTTGGGATCAGAAACGAATTGATTTGTTATTACCTGATACTGACATGTGAAGAACAGGTATCTGACTTTAATGAAGTGACGCAAAAAATCATACCTATGCAATTGTTTGGTCGATGAAATCACCGGAAAACCATACAACTATTCCCTTGTTCCGGACAACCCCATAGGTTCGGGCTGCTTGGCATAGCTACCACCAAATGGTGGAAAACTTATCAAATTTTCTTGTTGCATCCTCAAGCTTCGGAGAGAAAACAAAACTGAAATCCGCGGCCACAAAGACCAAATGTCTGGTCAAGGAAACAGGCGTACTATTCCGTAAGACTGGAAGCAGTGATCCACATTGGACATAGGATGTGCTTGTTAATGAGCCCCAGACCAGGATGACAAATTGGAACAGTCAAACCAGGAGACTACAGGGCCTGACAATCCTGTTGTTCATCACACAATCGGGTATAAATGATCATGGCGTACGTCAAAAGTCAGCAGACTGAGTGACATGTTCTCCCCTGAATGGTTAACCGGATCCATCTTTCAAATGCATGAAAAAATAATTTGTGGTTTACATCTCCACATTCCAGAGTGATTGCAGTTTCGACCACCTGGATTTTTATGTCTTATTCTTTGATCAGTATTCCACACATCAGCACTGATAAAATCCTTTATCATTGAACTCCAGAACAAATCTAGCGTAATTGACAATCACGTGTTTTTGGCGGAAGTTCAATCGTGTATGAACTGCGACAAGCTAACGAGCCTCGATGGAATTCGAAGCTGTGCATGGATGTGCCTACGCGTTTGCTTGACATTCACAAACCAGTGAAATAAACCAGTTTTGCAGTCATGGCAGCAACGTTGCCCGCTTTCACGCCTTTCGGGCTTCGATTTGCCATTCAAATCACGACCTCATGGATCTGACACTCATGACGGCACGATTTCAAAAACACTCCCGAGCATGAAACACGAGTGGAATCAACATTTACATTCCTTTGCCTTTCATTTTGCCATACCCAGGGAAAACCATACCAACTTTTGCGTACATTCTCCTCGGTAAACGGACTTTGTTCTTTCCATCCAACCAATGAGGGTTGACTCTTTTAGGGTGTTTCACACATTTGGATATAACATTATTGGTTATTCGTTGCATGAAAGATAGGACAGAGGATAGAGGATTCGTACGCTTTATATGAAGTAGTTTCTTCTGACGAGAATTACGGTCAACAAGTAGCTGGGTTCACGTGATGGGTTTCGGCATCTCATCAAGCCCTGAGTTCGAATCTCGCATGTGCCACCAATCCTTCACACTTATTTGATTGATTCCCCTGTCAATTTCTAAAGCTTGGTTGTACAATCGTGTATTCCACTAAAGTAAAATGATAGTACTATCAGTATGTTCATAATGAGGTGCAAGATAAAATAAGACCGTGTCTGTCAAGTGTCTCTTCTAGGAACAGTTGGGCAATGTAAGCCACTGGGGAAGTGGAAATCTGCTCTATTTTATATAACCAAAAAATCCGTTCACAAAACGCGTGGGATCTAATTAAAAAGGGATGGGATAATAATTAGGCTAGATGAATAAGCAAACGATCCGGTTGAAAGAAGCGGACGTACAAACAAGCAAACAGTCCCGATACAGTCAAGCACATGAATCACACGGCGGCGGATGAGCGAAGCGTGAGAAAACTCGTAAAAATTGAGCAGGAAGTTTAGATTGATCAAGATGATATCTATGATAAAATGATAAGAACAATGTAGAAACGATAGAGAAGGGAAGTCCGTTTAACTCTGTGTGACTCCAATGTGATTTTGCCAGGAATGTTCACCTATCGGGTACGACCGACTTGCTAGCCAAATTATGAAACTAGCCCTCATTTGAGAGGGAAGAAAAAGCAACGGGGTACAAACGGCCACAAACTGGAGAGAGTACACCGAGAGCGGTGATGAGGATGATGACGATGGGCAAACAAACGATGGATTGCGTGTGTCCGGTGTCTGTTGTACATGAGCGCCACCATCATGTAAAAATCCCCGGACCATATGTAATCAATACATACATACACACCTTACCACATCAAGTGTTCCCACTGTGAGGTGAATCATCTCCACATTCGGCAACCAGACAGATCGACAATCATTTATGTGTTCAGAGGTTGTGATAACAGGGAACAACCATAATTTTAAACCGGAACGATGAAGACAAAACAGAAAGTGATTTGGTAAGAAAACCCTCGAAAACTATATTGCGATGTTTAGCACGGTTTCGTTTAAATGTGATCACCGTACCTAAAATATGAGAACGATGTTTTATCCCATAGATAGAGAACAAAACTGCGTTTATAGAAGACATACCATTAGTTAACGAGTAGAAGAAAACTATGGTGAGTCGATGTTTTTGATCATGTGTCATTAGCAATAGGATAAAACTAATTACGTATAGATGAGGGGGGAAAGACAGACAAAATATCGCCCCAGGTTCTAAGGACTAGCGGGTTAAGTGTTTCCGAATCTAAAACGGCGACACCCTGGATGAGGACTTTGGTCTACCTTTCGACAAGCAGGTTCGTGATACTGAGTTTGAAGATACAATGATGTAGAACCGATTATTAATAATGAAAACAACGAATGTCTTTCTGATTATGGTTCGATGAATCCAACCGGTGTCTAGTGCATGAGGAATGCGAGCGACGTCAAGTTGTATCTATTGTTGATGTTGCTGCTGCTGCTGCTGCTGCTGCTTTCGTCGGTCACCAAATTTTTTCTTATGGATTGCAAGATCTGAGTGTGATAAGCAGTGTCTTTCCGCATTCTATCTCACTCCACCAGTTCCTCGTTTACGCTCCATTTTCGAACTTCCTCATTACCCGTCATTCTTCTTCCGGGGAGCATGGTTGGAATAACCGGTAAGCTACAGCAAAGTAATGTGCTCAGAAGTGACTGATTGTGCGAAACGAATTGCCTTAAGTGAACTGATTTGAAACGTGACTACGGAACAAAGGTCACTGACTAAAAAGTAATACCACGAATACGAGGAAATTAATATTAGTGAACGTAATCACAATTGAATTGCAAAATAGCGAGATCAACATTTTTGAGTGAGGTTCCACTATACAGAAATCTCTTAGATAATCCGATCATTGGAGATTGTCGTAGATGGCCTCCAACCTTTGTACATATTGACGTAGTTCATGTTTAGCTATGCGGTATGAACATTTACAGTGATAAAACCACCAAATAATAACTGACGGATCATTCTGAGTGCGAGAACCACAAGGACGTCAAAAGGGATTGAATTCAATGATGAGGGGAAAATGTGAGTGATTAATCCGGAGGAATCAAACCATCTAATGGTCTGCAAATGAAGGTATTACAGACCAGAAGCTTTACTCTTCGTACAAGATGGATGATGAAGGGGGTTGGAGATCGTACCGAGTCGTGCATTACTAATTCTCATTGGCGCCCAAGCCCAATCTATGACCAGAAAAAATAGGATAAGAGCGAACGGAAAAGAACTATTGGACAGGTACGGTGCGTTGTTTCGTTGTTCAAAACAT